CACCTAACAATAACAACAACAAATACAGCTTCTAAAATATTTTGGATGGTTCATTTAATGCAAATTCTTACATACACCTGGAAATAGGAAAAGAAAAGGTAAGGTTTAACAAACGTCAACTAGAAATTATAAAGTGCTTTTAACATTTTGGAAAAATCAGAGATACTAAGTAATTCAGAAGGAGCTAGGTTACATGGGCAATCAAGTTTAAATCATAATACTTTACCTTATTTTCTGTTTCATCATTGTGATCTGTAAAGATTCACAGAATAAATTCTGGAGAAAATACACAATTCAAGGGCAACCACTATATCTAAGTCACTTCACATCAGCTCATGTAAAATCACACAATTTTTAAATACCACACTTACTTTGCTGGGAATGTTCTTCAGTGTTCCTGTGTTCCAGGTTGTCTCTTCTGATCTAATGGTTTCACACCGAGGTTCCTGGTTTTGTACTCCAACTTCACTGCTTTTAACAGTCTTTTTTCCATCAAGGGATACATAGCCATTGTCAGTCTCAGTTGATTTATCAATTGAATTCTTTGTTTTCTTTGATCTAAAAAGGAGAATATCCAGAAGCATGTTATATGAACTTAGCTTATTTTGGATGGGTTACTGATAGAAATTATGATCCGTGACTAATTCAATCAGGTAGCTATTTCACAAAACTTTAATGGCTACTCTTGTTTTTACCACAAATAATTTAGAAATAAAATATCTATCAGACAAAATAAACATGTACATTAATGTCCTAATCAGACTTATTTTATAGGTTTTAAAGTCTTGCAAATAGCAATTCTAAAAGGCATGCCCTAACTTATCAAAAGATTCTTAATCAAAATCACCTGGTCTTTGAGCAAATTCTAGGATCAAATTTTTGCTCATTTTATTATGGTTAATAATATATTTTGAAGTTTTATTTAAAAAAATTATCTTAGTAAGTTAAGTAGCAATTAGTGGTTTAGTTTAAATTCTCTAGTTTACCCAAAGATTTTACCATTAGTATATATGAATATATAAATATATCTGACAAAT